ACAGGCTGTGGGACAAAGTTGAGATGAACATCCATGGAAAATTGGAATGGAATGAGTGACAGGAAAAAAAGGAAACCCGGAGATGACAGAATCTCAACAGTATAGCATCTGTTTTTTGATACAATACAAATACAATGTATTTGGAGAAAAATAGATACAAATAATATTGGTTTTGTTGTTGGTACCACCCATCAGGCAAGCTGCTATATTGAGGAAGTACATTATTCTCCCAGTTGTTTATGACACATCAATTACTCCATCAAAGAAAAAATATCACATGCGAATAGAGATGGTCTCTGGGTATCTGTTGCAGATACCCTTTATCCGCTGGCAGATACCCACCAGCGGATGTGCCATTTCCCCTGATTTTCCAGCGAATACCCGGGTATCTCCACAGATACCCAAGGCCAAAGGCTGGCTGGAAGGGTTTCCTTCCAGCCAGAGTTTTTATGGATTGGTGGATAGGGGGATGATAAAAACAAACGTGAAGCAAAAGAAACAAAATGCAAAATTGATTACATTTTTTTTGAATAAAAAAAATAAAGGGGAGAGGGTAGCTGAGAGGTGGGGGATAATGATTATGAAATAAAAAAAAATCACAAAACAAAACAAAACAAAATTTATATTTGATTGGCCCACCAGAGGTCTTCACAAACAGGTGCATTTGGTTGGGAATTGACTTGATAAGGATTTTGAGGTGATCCACTGGGATGTTGTCCTAACCCTGTTGGATGTTGGAATTTCACTCGAGCTTTCCCTCTTTTTATTCTCTTTCACAAACATGTCACTCATTTTCCTTTGATGTTGAATACACACTTCTTTATTCATTGTGCATAAAATAAAAAAGAAATTAAGCCATCAGTTGTAGCTGGTTAGAAGCCATTGAACAGGTATTCATGGCACGATTCGAGATGAAGCACATTCTCACCTTGTTTTTCTTCTTGTTGTAAAGCCTCATTGAAGGTGACTCATTGAACATTCCAAGAACACATTACTTTGGCAAATGGAATGGTATCTGTGTTACACAAGTTCCAAAGTAGATTGTAAAAGTTGAGTAACTGTAGTGAAAAGGCAGTTTGTGGGAGCACTGGTGTGCTCACCAAATACCCATGGGCCATGATTTGGACAGCATTGGCTGTACATGAGCAAAATGTTATCATTTTTCATTCTTGGCCTGTGGAAAGCAAACACAATTATTTTCAACTCCGGTTCAAAATGAAAAAAAGTGTTGTATACCTGGTAAATCAACCAAGTCAATTGGCTACACTTTTTTCTGGTGAGGTTCACAGTTACAGAGCTCCTTTGTGTCATCGATGAAAGAGGATGGTGAGATCTGATTGTTTGTTACTTGCTTTAATAGAGTGTACGCAGGAAATAGCACATTGAAAACTTTGGTCCAGTTCTGTAATTTATGTTGCTGGATGATTCCCTGATAATGTGATTGGATTTCAGCTTGCGTCTCCTGACATTGGTCTAAATTTATCTCTACATCTTCCCAGTAAGATGGACCATCATATTCACCAAAATGAGCCGAGTAGTCTTCAGTCAAATCTGGAAGATTGGGGTTTTGAGGTGGGGTGGCTAGCTCAGCAGCTTGTTGGGCATTTTCAGAAAGGTAAGCTGCAGTTGCATCTTTGGCTTATTTTTTTTCTGGAGGTGGTACTGCTTCTGCAAACATGTCTC